AGACCTGCATACAATAGCCAACACCTGTCTTTTACAGAGAAAGATTATAAATGTACTACATTTTCTCTTTGTTCTTCTCCCTTAAGAGCTCTTAACTCCATGCCAATATCTCAGTAATCTCATCTTGCTATTAAATATTTGCATACCCAACCTGAAAATGAGAGAGTTAATGGGTGCAAAGAAAAATTGGATATATTCTATCCATTTATAAAATTTCGTATCTGTCCTTGGAGATGTGGAATTCTGGATTAATCACCCTAGAATAGCCATGGGAGCAAAGAATATCATTAGTTTAAAAACTCAGCTGGCTACGTTTATAGAGGATATTGCATGATAAATTTTAAGCTGGTGCTTACACAGTGGCCCAGTGGGAATGGAAGATGTTATTTTCCCCCTAAGCTATTCTCCCTTCCTCCACAGCAACAGTGATGCTTCGAAATGAGGATAGCAGCTGAAGAATTAAGAAAACTTTTTCATGGGAAATCTCAATGGATAGACTTACACTACTTAGTTATTTGACATGTGGGGGTCCAGGTGACCAGACTGTTGAGAAGATGAAAGGAATTGTAACATGGTCTGTCTAGCAGCAATATTCTTTTATTTCTTCCTTCCGGTTTGTGACTTTCTTTTCTGAATCTTGATACCTGTACATATTTCAGGAAAGCTTTTTCTTTTCCTGTAAGGTTCATTGGTATAACATACCTGGCTTATTCCTGCAGCCTTCATGTGGCACACTATAAAATGGATAATGTAATCCATGTGGTCAGCTTCAGAGTACTGAGAAGCCTGTGTCAGTCCAGGGAACCGGAATAATAGATAAGGGAACCGGAATAATAGATAATACATGAATCACATATGTAAATATTTACGTGGGGTTCTATCACGGCACATTTTGACGGATAAACTTCACAAATTTATTCATGCTCTTAACTTTTTAAATACACGCATACTTTCTCGCCCTACCTGGATCAATTGCATTTTCCTAAACCACAGGGAAGCATATCCATTACAGTCTTGGATCACCTGCCTAAAGGTGAAATTACACACCTATCCCTCTGGAAGTCTGCTGTGGCCAAAATAACAGAAGTCATTTATAATGAGATAATTTTTTGTAAACCACAGCCACTTCACCATATGAATGAAATTCACAGAGAGATTGCTTGGTACCCAGGGCTGTGAACAGCAGAAATTTGGGGGATGGGGGCAGATATTTTGTGCAGATTTGATACTATGAGACTTTGGGATGGTTAGCTCATTACAAAAGCTAATTGTTTCTCCTTCGGAATAATCTTTTTGCTAATTCATCAGCTGTTGGGGATAGGCACGCCGACTTTGAATGGGTTGTTTACACCTGTGACTGCATTTTGTTTTCACCTGAGGTCTGCAGTGCAATGTAAAAGCGACCCAGAATAGATCTACTCAGAAATGTTGCATGCTATCAATTGGAGTGCTATGGCTATACGTTCTGATAAGTAACCATTGGTTTTTCTGCTTTCATGCTGTTTTTCTGCGCCGTAGTTTAATCTGATCTCCTACTGTATGTATATACATATGCCAATAAAGGCTTGTCAAGTTAGTTATCAATTGGTCTCTTTTCTCGGGAAAAGAGCTCAATTTGAGTCCAGGAGCACCTTAGAGACTAATATGATTTTCAGGGCATGAGCTTTCTAAAGTCAAAATTCCCTTCTTATAAAAGAACCCCCCAAAATTTATTCCAGGAAATTATCTTTAGGATTGCAGCTTTGGTCTTCTAGCCTCTCACTATAGAACAGCCTTCCTCCACCACAACCTTTGGCCATTTGTAACCTGGGATTATCTCTACCAACTAAAAGCCCGGTCACACGAGCGGATTTGGGCCAGGAGAGGGACGGATCGGAGGCGGAGCAAATGGGCGCAATCCCACCGCAACATCTGGGAAGCGTTGCGCGCCCGTCCCCGATCCGGCCCTTCCTACGATAATCCGCAGCAAAAAAGAACCACCTACCGAGGTGGTTGTTTCTGAACGGCCGCATCAAAGCCAGCTGTGGGATCGCCGGCGCGTTCTTCCATCGGCGCATCCCCGGGTCCTGGCCGAACTGCGCATGCTCAGACATGCGCAGTTCGGCAGCCTCCCGTTGCTTCCTCCCCGGCATTTGATCATGCTGGGGAGCAATTGCACGGCGGCTCATGGGATCTGTATGATCCCGCCGCTGAGTGCCTATTTGGGTGTGGCTTTTTGCCCGTCCTTTTCCCCCCTCTTGTGGCAGGGACCTAAGTATCTCTGATAACGTCATCATTTGTGATGAAGTTGGTGGTTCTGGCTCATGAAAGTATATGCCACAATAAATTTGTTAGTCTTTAAGGTTCCATAAGACTCTCCTGTTGCTGAAGGTGGCTTCCAATGCTTTCCTAATGGAAGTTCACTGCTGTATAATTAGTAATGACACTGATTGCCACTGTCATGTATAGATATGTGGCTAATATCAGCCCATCATATTACAGTTAACATGTTTCCAGCATGACGTTAGTTTAACAACTGATAACTCATTCCAAGACCTTGAAGTTCAGCATGCTAAGAACAGGTGTTGCTGTACACATTACATAAAAAAGACAGGTGCTATATGTTTTAAGACTGATCTGGATGGCCAGGTGAGCCCAATCATGTCAGATTCAGAAGCTAAGCGAGGTCAGTCGTTGTTAGTACTTGGATGAGAGACCATCAAGGAAGTCCAGGGTCTCAGAGGCAAGCAATGGAAAACCACCTCTGCACATCTCTTTCCTTGAAGACCCCATGAGGGGTCATCATGAGTTGGTTGTTACTTGAGAGCACTTTCCGTTACCATACATTTTATGACCCATGAAGCAAATCTTTGTGTAACCTGAAAAAATGTATGTACTTTTGTGATATTGTGGAGATATGGGTCTGTAAGAAATGGCTGGCCTCCGCATCATTTCCCATTCTCTGGATGAAGACCTCTGAATAAAGTTGAACATGTTTTAGTTACGACGTCTCTGTATCTGTCTGCGTATGTGACATAAGTTAGGGAACCTGGTGCTGACACATGTCTGTTAAATGTACCCCATGTGCTCTTACAGTTGTGTGACTGCTGCTGGAATGTGCTATGGTTTGCAAGGGTAGTAGCCTTTTAGTATGACAAATCGAACATCCAAATGTGCCAATTTACACTGATACACTAAAAACCATTCCACACAGAGCTGATTGTACATCAATATCAGACACATAAGCATAATATGTATTACAAGAACTAGGTATGCATTGCAGGTCTAGAATAGAAACCACAACTGAGGAGGCCATGTGACTCAGCAGAGCTTGAATGGCTTCAGATTATTTGTTGGAAAAGTGGCATCAGGTGTTAGGAATGAATGGGTTTTCCTGGTTCCACTCATTTAATGTTGCAGAAGTTCACTGGTGCTGTGTTCCATTCCTCCTTAATTCCAGCTTAACAAGGATAATTTTTTTAAAAAAATCCAGAAATCAAGCATGTGTAGTATTGAAACTATCAGTAACTTCAGTTCATTTGCATGTCTTTACACCTGTCTGTTAGTAAGGTGCATACGAGCACTCCTATCTTTTGGGAAAGCTCTACAAAAGAAGAATCTTGGTAAAAATATACACAAAATTACACCAAGATAGCTTTTTGCATTTTGTTGTTGTTGATACACTCATGCATATGAGGAAGGGGGGGAAAAGAGTAAAGAAAGAGACTCAGAAAACTGGAAGCTGCAGAAAACCATGCATTCACTGTGCAAAATCTGAAATTTAAAAACAACACCACCAAATCAAACTATGGATACTTCCTAAAATAAATAAATAAATAAAAATGCATCATTTTCACTTTGGGAACAAGGCGTGGTAATGTGGAACTCCAATCCCTGAGGAGAAACTAAAAGTGGAATTTTGGGAACATTCTTATTAACTGTACAGCATACACTATCAGTATGTTCAGCTAGTTACTTATATTTCTTGAGCTTTAGAAGCTGTTGTAAATGAGTCAATTACTGCCAGACCAGTCAGATGATCTGGAATTTTATTCCATCCATATACATGCATAGTAACAACATTTGTTGAGAAATTATTTCTATCAGAAGTAGAACATTATCTCTGTGATCACCAGTTGCAGTATTGCTACTCTTATATTTAAATATCTCTTATAAATGAATTAGATTCATACTTGCAGCATTGAGTTAAGGATTTCATTTTGTCTGTGCCTTTCAAAAGATAAAACTGATAGATAGGATCTCATTACTTACAATACTGCTTCCAGTAATTTTTGTTCATTCTTTATAAAGTATTGCATTTAACAGCAAAGGTTTAAAAATCGAGACAGAGATGCATCAGCGAAAGAAAATACAAGTACTATACAAGGGAAAAAATTGCCATCTTCATTTTAACGGACGTTTCAGGTTAAGAAAGTGGACAGGAACATACCGCTACATACAAATGCAAAGCCTAGTGACTAAGATCCTGTATCTGCTAAAATATAAAGTGCAAACTGAGCCAAATTCTTCAAAAAATATTGAATTTTTAAGGCGAACTTTACAGCATAGTTGAAACTTTTTGCAAGTTATATTTTAGCATCTACATCTGCAATAGCATATAAGGGGGAAAAATCAGGATACACAGGTGCTTTTGAAGCTATTTCTAAAATGCTTTTCCGTATAGTTTGTGACTATTTTCTTTAAAATCTACTATACAGTGCAAACCATATGTGCTACACAATAACTATACAATAACATTACAAATGACTTTAATATAAAGTTTTTTTAAATAAAAAATAACTACAGCTATGAATACTGCTGGTAAAATAAATTAATTGTATTGAAAATGGCACCAAGAATACACTTTACTAATGGACTGTAATGGAAGTACACCTTTAAAGTCTTCAACTCAGCAATAATGAATAAACGCCTGATTGTCCAGAAGTAATACAAACAGCTCTCTCTTTCGACTGTATGGAATAATATACTAAACATAGGTAGGTACCAAAGGTGGACCGAGAATCTCATTTGACATGTTCCGCTGCATGTGATGAGCAATAAAACTTCTTATGAGTTATAAAGTTTGATAGGTTGTTGAACTGGATGTCACAGAGACGGCAATACTTTCCACTGGTAGGAGCCTGAGTGGAACCATTCACACCTTTTGCTATACTAGATAATTGTTCTTCTGCCGCAGGGATCGTTGGAGAGACATTTTCATTGGCAGCTAAAGCATTATCAGAGGCCCAAGATGGAGATTTGTGTCCATCTTCATGCTGCTGAGGATTCTGGGAAATGTTCTCTTGCTGTGGATTGGCTGTGGGCCTTTCTTCCTGTTTTAGTCCACCATTAACGATTACCATGCCTCTGTTTTTAGGCAATAGTGGCAGAGACTCCTTCTTCTGTACAGGGCACCCATTTGAGGGAGTCTGGCTCTTCAAAGATTCACTTTCAGCATTTGTACTTTGATCTGCATCATTATTATGGACAACAAGGGAACTAGAAATGTAATCACTTGGCTTTATTCCGTAATATGGAGAAAGCTGATCTGCTCCTTTAGCTTTCTTTATTGCTCCTGGATAAAGGCATTGTGGGAGAAACAAGTGTTTGTTTTCTTCTTTTGTAGCAATGAGCTGGGCAGCTTCACTAAAGACTTTAAGTCCTTGAAGAGTTGCTAAGTGCGTAGAAAACAAATTCCCATTGGGAGACGACTGTTTTGAGTTTCCGTTTTTCTCGCATTTGATTATGCTACGTTCATAGCTGACCTCAGGGCTGTTGCGTTCACTTTCTGGGTTTTGAAATACCTTGCCATCCAACGATCCCATTTCATTACGCTGGTGCACAGTGACAGGGCAAAAATTCTGCTTATGGGCCAGGTAATTCTCTACCTTGTTGAAACTGATCTTGCACACTGTGCATTCATGGTAGTCCAGCAACCTTTTGGGAGAAGTGGATGTCCTATCAGACTGGGGCAGGCATTTTTTGCTGAGGTCTATAGGTGCATCCATCTCCAAGCAAGAAACTGTCGAATGCGGTGCATCACATTTTGAGGCCGGGACACATTTGTTAATGGATAGTGATGTTTCTAAATGCTTTGAGACCATTCCTGGAAAGATATCACAGCGTGGGTGGTAGCACTCTCCAAGAGTATCAGTGGGCTCTTGCGAAGATGTGCATGGGTTAGCAAGATTAGCCACTTCAAGAAATCTCTGTTGAACGAGCTGTGGCCTTTGCTCTTGCTCTGGTAGACACATCTCATACATCTTCCTTCGCTTGCGTGTACGCATCGTCCTCTGCATAGCTGGCACTTTGCTGGAAGCAGATCTCTTAAGTGGAGGATCGTGGCGTGTTGCACAGTAATACTGCTTATGAACCATATAGGTTTCATGCCTACTGAACGTAATATTGCAAGCTTCGCATGTGGTTTTGTTGGGATCACTTTCGCCTTCTATTAACGAAGCAGTAGTTGGGTTCTTGCCATCCAAAGGTTTCCCATTAATTTTATCATCGTTGTTGGCAGCATTTGACAGCTTCTTCACCTGTGAAGGAAAGTCTTTTTCATGCCCTTTACTGTTTGGCCCAATCATGTCTAATACAGAAGAGGAGTTGATACAAGATGCCTGAAGGAGCTGATTTTCTGAGTCTGAAGTATGAGGTGTAGTATTCAAAATACTGATCGAATTTTGACTGTTGCTGGGACTTAGAGCCTCAGGCAGCTTTTCTGAAACACTGGCGAAATCTGGCGACTTGGCCATCTGTTGCCATCGGCTGCTGCAGTAATGCTTTTTGTGTACTAAGTAGTTGTCCAAATTGTTGAATGTTATGTTGCACTCAAAGCAGGTAGCTCCTTTGGGCATGAGTGGGCTGTAAATGACAGGGGGGTAGCTGTTACTTCCATGCCTCAGCCGTCGATGAACCAGCTCAGACATTTTGGCTAAGATCTCAGAAGCCTGAGGAACCACTGTGATGTCCTGGGGGAAAGCAAACTGAGAAAGAAACGGTCCCATGGGGAAAGAGGGGCCCAGATTAGGCTGGACTGGGGAAGAGGCAAGCCGTGGGCTGGAAGGTTCAGATTTAATTTTTGTGTAGGAAAAGCTTTGCTTGGTTGTGGCAGCTTGTGTTTCTGGCCTCTGATTGGGAAGGAAAAGGGGAGTCTTTTTTTCACATTTGTCCAGCTCAGTGTCAGAACTTGCATCCTTTGTGTGCATCGGCTTTTGGCCCTGGGAGCCATCGTTTCTGTTAAGGGGATCCGTAGCTGTCTGCAAAGCCTCTTCATTACCACTTGGCGAATGTTCGGTGTCGCTTTCTCTCTGCAGCTTGTTGCCAGGGACATGTAGGTCTTGGTGCTGCAGCAGCTCCCTCTGAGTCTGGAAGCCAAAATGGCAGTGGGTGCATCTAAAGGCAGCTTGAGTGAGATGTGAGAACAGATGCTGATGGAAGTTAATCACTGAGTCGGCGGTGTAGCTGCAAACTGTGCATTTCAGGCTAGCACCAGAGGGAAGAAACTCTTCCATTTTTACTCCTGTGGAGTAAAAAACACTGCAAGTTAGTATGTGTCTTTCTTCCAAGGTTGTAAGTAATTAAAATACGACTTTGAACCACAGGCCCGATGGAGTTTTCTCACAGCCATTTATTACAAGAGATTCCAAAGTAACTTCACTATTGTGCTACTAGTGCTTGCATCAGTTAGAAGGGTTTTTTGGGCAGGGGTTGTATTTGTGCTGACTGACAGCACTCAAATGCATGGGCGGAATGAGTCCTTCTGCAAAATTCTGGTAACAAGCACTTAACAAGCAATTGAAGAGAAATATGTGGACCAGACTGATGCTTCTCAGATTCTGACTGCATTCCTGGACTTGCTGAGTGACAGGAGCTGAGATGCTAGTGAGTATGACAGGCATGCCACAATTAGGATCACCAGAAGGCTGTTATTCGTCTTTCACAAAATGTTTCTAACCTGGCCACTACAAGAACTAGAATAATCTCTCTGCCGACCCTCAGCCCAACTTCCTTCCCCCCCCCCTTACGATTTTTATTTTTAAAATTGGTAAATGCTAAGTCTCTGGATTATGAAAGTAACGTCAAATTAGAAATAAGGCATTCATTCTAGCATTAGGATTTCAAGATGTCTTACAAGTTGGTTTAGGGCCCAGCAGTGAATGGAATTGCAACTTTTGTAACAGACAATTGCAGTTTTCTCTTTCAGCTGTTACCTCACCCCAAACTACCATTTACTTCTGGCTCATCCTCTGATACTACTATTACCTAACAAGCATCTGGCAATCTGTGTCCAGCCCACAGACCACAAGATTGGCTGGTCAGATCTGTGTTGTTATGGGGAGGGGAAGGTGACTGTAAGCCACTTTGAGACTTCTTAGGGTGGAGAAAAGTGGGGTATAAAAACCAACTCCTCCTCCTCTTCTTCTTCTTCGACCATTTTCACTTATATCCATGAAAGTATGTAATAAAAATCAGATACATCTAGAACTGTTATAAAATGGTTATCCAGAATAGTATAGGTACCTATATAATTACTGCAGCCTAAAAGAGAACTAAGCTTGGTGTTTGGTTGCACCTCGGGAACTTTTCTTGAACACGTTGATGCAAATGTGCGAGTCTGAAGCTTTCAAAGGAAAAGTAAAGGGGAGCAACTGTTTCACTTACCACTGTGAGAGTTTAGATGAATTTCTAGGGCCCTGGCGTTTGAAAAGCTTTTGGTGCACTGTGGAAAGGGACAGACACTAGATATCTGCTGAATATTCTCGTCATTTTCTTCTGATAGCTGAGATCCTTCTCGTTGCCTCCCACTGCAGTAGTACATGAGGTGAGCCTGCAGATTCCGCTCACTCCGATACCAAATGCCGCACGATTTGCAGGGGAATATATCCTCTATGAGAGAGAGAAAAAATAACAGGTGCAAGTAAGCTATATTTTGGTCCTGCTGACAAATCTTGAGTGCAACAAGTCTAAGCTGCTTCAGCTTATTTAAAAAAATACCCATTTAACAGCAGGCTGGCAGTACAGCATATGATTAGTAAACAAGACACAGAACTAGAAATTCAGTGTAAGAACTTGTTCTGGTCTCCCCCCCCCCCCAAAAAAAAAAAAAAAGATTTCTGGGCACACAATGAGTGAATCTGAAATATACATGATATTATGAATTAACTTGAAAATTAGTAGTCTTAAAACGTGCTGCTGATTAGCTGGTTAAGTTTATTATATGTCATACACAAATGTACAAAACCTATAGATATCAGGCATGAATTTAGAAGAGGCATTCCCTCATCTCTTTCAGGCATAAAGGAATGTATCTTAGGTAGTGACTATAATATGCATATGTATAATTTGTAGTCAAAATGCATTTTCTTCACAAGTATTGTTTTATTAAGGTGCAAGCATTGCCATACAACTAATCATTTAAGCTATCTTTAATCAGAGGCAGCTCTACTAGAAACACAAGTTTCTCTAAAGATGAACTCCAGGAACTTAAGGTGCTTAGTCAGGAGAGAAACAAACTGTAGCTGCAATCCTAAGGATACTTTTCTGGGAGTGAGTAACATTTGAGGAGACCTGTTTTGGATTGTTCCCTGTGTGCATTACACAATCCTGAAATATCACAAGTAGCCAGATCCATTCCTCCCCCTGTCATTCACTGAAGATTATCAGTCAAGAGATGCGGTGGAAAGTCTGACTTTTGATGAACCCATGGATTTTTCAAGGCAAGAGACACTCAGAGGTAGTTTGCCATTGCCTGCCTCCACATCATGACCCTGGTATTCCTTGGAGGGCTCCCAGCTAGAGCCAAACCTGCTTAGCTTCTGTGATCTGATGAGATCAGGTTAACCTGGGCTATCCAGTTCCGGACAGTCAAGAGGTGACTGAGGCCATTTCCATCCCTCCCAAAGCCAATCTTGATTGAAATGGGTCTTGGTAATGTCTCCCTCAAGACTTCCTGAAACTGTATAGCCATCACCTTAGCCAAGAATGGAATGCTGACCACCAACCATAATTATTTAGATCATCTGTGTCCAAGGATGCCTTCTTGGTGTCTCATGTTGGTGTCTCATGACTGCCTCTTTCAAATGTCAGAGCTGCACCCTCCTGCTGAGATGTATTCATTAGCTGCCCGCAACTACTTGAATACACAAAGCTGCCTTATACTGAATCAGATCATTGGTCCATCTAAGTCAGTATTGTCTACTCAGACTGGCAGCAGCTCTCCAGAATCTCAGGCAGAGGTCTTTCACACCACCTGTTGCCAGGTCCTTTAAGTGGAGATGAGGGGGATTGAATCTAGGAACTTCTGCATGCCAAGACGATGCTCGAACATTGAGCCACAGCCCCTCCTAACCCAAACTACTATCAGCCAAGGACGAGGGTTAAGCATAGACACTGTGGGCTGCACATTTTTATGCAGACTGTCTACTTCACCAGGGCTCACCTGACTGTCCTCCAATAGCAGACTGAGCTAGACTAGGAGAATTTAACTCATTGCTATATATTTAAACTGACCTCCATGTCTAATTCTTCCATTCTGATAATTAGAAATAGTCAGTTTGAGGGTTAAGATTTGACAACACAAAATAATGTATTGTTAGGGGGAAAAACAGATATAATGAAAAAAAGTCGATGGACATTTTGTTCAATTCATATAACTAAAGACATCTGTTGTTTCAAGGCAGCCAAACTAATCAATAGATTCTTCTGTCATGGAATACAGCAAATACCAAAGCTGCATTCACAAATGGGTCAGATGATGTCTCTGCTTTGATTTGGGTCTGGTCTGGAAAAGTAGCTCATCAGATGTCACACCTGTTCTTGCACCATACCACTTGAGAATGTTGGTAAGGCATTGTATCTTGACTACAGGTGTGCACTTGGTATTTTTTGGGTTTGGGTATATTGAATCCCCCCCCAAACTGGTACTGCCTGATATTCCTGAATCCCAATATCAGTATAGTATTGGGATTCCGGAAATATTAGGGGTTGCCATAGGCTATTATGGAGAATAGATCTGGGGCTCTGGGGTGCTGTTTTTTGAGGTAGAGGCACCAAATTTGCAGCATAGCTGCTGGTGCCTCTCCTCAGAACCCCCCCTCCAAGTTTCAAAAAGATTGGACTTGGGGGTCCAATTTTATGGGCCCCAGAAGAAGGTGCCCTTGTCCTCCATTGTTTCCAATGGAGGGGGGAAGGCATTTAAAGGGACACAGTCCCTTTAAATGCCTTCTCCAAGCTGCTGTGCAACACTGTGCCACAGCGAGTGAACTCTGAAGGCATTTAAACTTAAACTTTAAGTGCTTTGCTGAGAGTTCACTCCGAAGGCATTTAAAGGGATTGAGAGCCCTTTAAATGCCCTGGAACTGTGGCTATCTGGTGGCCATTTTTGGAGAGCCGAATCATTATAGCCCCCTTGGTGACTGGCTGTGAAAATACCTGATAAATACCGATAAGGCAAAAACCTGTCTATATTTTGTACGCATCTATATCTGTATTTCCTAAATTTAGTTGACCATCCAGTCTTTCAGTGGTGCAGACTTCCACCTGCAGATGTATAGAATACCAACAAGCTTCTGAAGACTTTGTTTTTTATTGATGTGAAGCTTTTCCTGACAAACTTGGGGGGGGGGGACAGTCCAAGCAGATCAATGACCTTCTGTGATGGGGTAAACATGCACAGCTACAAAATTAATTGCATTATATTGTATTTTGAAACAAACAGGGATAGAGCACTCACTGTTGACAATAGCTGTTGGCAAAATGGATGCCATGGCTGCTTGTTGAGGGAGCAACTGTATGGAGTCCAGCAACCGAGCAGGATACATGCCCTCTGTTAGAGTCATCTGGGTGGCAGCTTGCAGCCTTGAGTCGAAATCCACAACAAAGGCAATTAGCTCTTCCCCCTCGGCAATGGATTTCGTGGTTGTACACCAAAGCTGGCCTCCTGCAAACCCAAACATACACACAAAGGGGTGTGTGTGGATAAGTGGTAATGATTACACTTTACAGCACATCAGGTCCTGAGCTGTGTTCTAATTTGGGCAGCTACATTTGGTCGAGGAGAAGAATGACAACCCTCTTCCTTTACAGCTCTCTTTTCTGTCTGTGCAAGAGTGTTTAAAACAATGCTTTGAGGCATCCATGCTGAAAATACAGTTAGAAGCTACATAACTGAAACTGCAAAGGAATTACAACAGTTCTGTAACTCTTCTATGATCCATTAAATCACTTAATTACAGCCCTTTGTCTCATGAAAATCTGGCATTCCCATTCAAATTCATTTTTCACCTGCTTCTGTCCAGTCATTTCATTCAGTTATTTGGAATTTCTTCTGTGCTGTATCTGCATATGTACAATGCGTATTCATTACAATATCTATGCATATGAAAGCAATAAATGACAGCAATACACAGATATCCTTATAAGATCATCCACCATCCCCTCTATCCCCCCCCCAAGCGCCCACCTTCGCTTATATAATAATACAAGCCGTTTTGTCAACTGCTTTAGGTCTCCTTATGCCGACCGAACTTCCTGTTCAGATATGCTGAAGATCTGTTTCATAAAAGGCTTGTTCAAATACAGCTTTATTTTAAAAGGGAAACTTTCTTCAAACAGCAAGATATACTGTAACTTTGCGCTGTGTCACGTGCGATGCATTGAAAAGAAAATTAACTATGCAAGTAATGCACTAATGCATTTGAATGTGATAGTGAACACTCATTTATTTAACATGTTTAGACAGACACAGCACTTATATTGTGTTATCTCTGCTCTCAGTCCTGATACGTATCCAGTACAGTTATGGCTGAAATAATGTTGCATACTTTATGTGTTAGAAACCCTGTTCTTCTACAGCTTTCTATATATAGAAAAAACTATAGGGGGCCGGGGGGGGGGGGGAGAGAGACCGGGTACAAGTTTGATAAGTAATATTGCTGTGTTTATCTTTCAGCATAACTGCCTTTTCAACTACACTTCATTTTTCCCCCTTCCTCAAAGAGATTACAGTTTTAAAACAACTTGTTGCAAAAATCTGGTGGAAGAGATAACAACAGTGTATGATATGCAACAGCTAAATAGAAGAATTAGGACATTGTTTTAGAGGAATCTTGGACAATTAATTAATCCAGTCCTATTAGCTTTCAAAGAGGAGCAAACAAAACAGCGTTACTGACAATGTGTTGGGGGGGGGAGGAAACCAAGGCAGACCTCAAAGTGATGCAGAAGTTTCAAAGAAAAAATAAGAAGTTTCCTGTATTCACCCTTTGTTAGTAATACGGCTGGGTTTGTCTATAAAGATTGCAAGTGAATTTATTAGGAGATAGTGACTATAATTTCAAGCTTTCCTGCTTTCTGTAATTCAGGACATAAAGAGTTCCTCTCACTCTGGCAATGTACTGCTTGTGTAAAAAACTTACAATTTTTTTGAAAAACAGAATCATGGAAGTAGAGGAAACCATGCAGAATAAGAAAGGTATCTGTGTATTTGTTTACTTTGTGTAATTTATTTATGTTTTCCTGCAGATTTCTTGGGCACAGAATGCACACAGTAATGGAAGAGGGGTACACTTGCTCTCTCTGGCTTCAATTCTTCCTCTCTTCCTCTTATTCCTAGTTGGGATTGATAGATACTACTCAAGACCTATAGCTTCAGAGGAAAAGAGGAAGGAAGGAAGGAACTTACATCATGAAGCCTTCAAGTGTACAATGAGAACATGTCTTCTGCTTGCTACCTCCTTGTGTAACACTCCCTAGATGTCTAGGACATGTACACAGTTTCATTCACAGTGCCCTCCTAAGCCAAATTAAATCCTTCTACACCCATTGACTTTGATGGGTACCATTTCCACATGCTCTCCCAAGGTCTACTAAAATAAAACAGCAATCCTAAGCATGTTTTCTAAATGACAAATTTAGATAAGTAGTTGCTCAATTTATTTATTTATTGTTTGTATTTATACCCAGCCTTGCCTGGCAAGCAGTAGTTTACCCTAAGTAATGGTTACCCTAAAGCAGATAGTCCTGGTAAGAAAATGTCTTCTGGCATTATTTTATACTTCTTCTCCACCCAAGAGTGAAAATGTTCAGCTAAAGAAGACGCCACTTGCCCCCACAGCGGGAATAACGAGACAGACCACAATTTGGATTAAACAAGGGCCACTTTATTAACTATATACAATTTATTAATAGCAACCGGCAAGGGAGCATTTCCTAAGTAGCGGAACAGACAAGGCAGGTGTCAGGCTGACCAGCCTCCTTGTCTGATATATCTGGGCGATGCACCGACCCCGGTCTTGGGCCATTAACCTGGCTTGCGACCAGCAGCCCAGCCACGGGTCGCCTCCCGGGAGCGCCTACCCCTGAAACTTTACTGTTTGCAGAGAGGAGCTTAACCCAAGAGGCTCCCAGAGGGGGTCCTCATTCCCCACCCGGGGCCTTAATAGCCCGCAAGCCGTTCCTGAAGACCCCCCCAGTTCCCAAAAGACGGGACGGCTTACGGTGCTCACCAATTCCGCTGCCTTATCTCTGCCACTCGCAAAGCCAAGCCTCTGCTTTGGCTGACGCGGCCACCAAACCACTTAAGGCAGCCGTGATCCCTTGCCGGATGTCCTCTAAAATTAACTGGTTGCCCTTGTCTGATAAGTGGATACCATCCTCCCTGTACAGGTCTGGGTCCCGGACCCCTATTCCAGGGTGTGGTAGATACTGGCCCAAACCACCCTCCAACCTTCTGGGTTTGCTTGTTCACCTTGCGCCTAGCCCGGTCAATGCACCTGGGGTCCCCCCGATTGCACCACATGTGCCGTGGTAGCATCGCAGACCACACCACCCGCACCCCGGGCCACCTTGCCCGAATCAGCTTCAGGTCTTCCGTGGCCTGGATAACCAGGGCCTTGCCCTTCATCCATCCGAGATCATTGCCCCCAAGGTGCACCAGTAATATATCAGGAGGCGGCCCACGCCGTTCCTCGCACACCTTGCTGTTCCATTGCAAGGTCGGCATCCACTTGAAACACCAGGGCCGTGCCCTTCATGGTGAGTCAGAACAGGTCCTCACCCGGGACTCCCCGCCAGCAGCCCTCTCCCTTGCTTATTAGAACTGCCAAGGTGCGGGGCTATCCTTCTTGCCTATGGCGGGGGGAGGGGCGGAGAGATCACCTTGCCGCCAAGAGAAAATCTGTCCCCCGGACCCCGATCTCCCGCCGATGGTCCAGAAGGGGATGGGGAGGCCAACAATGGGCCCCCCGCCACATGCGCCAATGAAGTGGGTGAATGGGGAGCACCACGCCAAACAACGGGCCCCCCGCTCAGCGCTGCCCATGGATGGGGTAAAGGGTAAGCCCCGCGCTTAACAATGGCCGCCCCTCCCCACAATGGGCCACGTGCAGCCCCCGGTGTGGGGGGTGGAAGGGGAGGCGCTGCGGCAAGCAAGGCCCCGAGCCGGCTACCCGCCTCGACCTCTTCCTGCGGGGGGGTCCTACTCCATCCTCCCGCACTATCCCTCTGTCAGCCCGCCGAGAAGTGGGAAAGAGGGGGGGTGTTCACCGCCGCGGCCCCAAAGCTAGGGGGGGAATGGCTCCGCCGGACTGCTCTCCCCTGGGCCTGGGCGAAGGGCGGACTCTCTCAGCCTCGCAGTCCTAAACTGTGCGCCCTCGCTGCCCCGGTGCTCTCACCCCAGCCGGCAACCCCCCAGCCGCTACGCGTGCACCAACGCGGCCCCGCGCCCACGCCTGGGAGTACTCCCTGTGGTCCGGCTCCCTCAATGACGCCGCTGGATGGCCCGCTCTCAGCTTCCATTCCAGCGATCGCCCCCCGCTGCCGATACCGCCGCCGCCTCCGCTGAGGCCTTCGGTCCCAACAAAGCCCGGGGGCCCAGCGGCAAGGCAGCACACCAGCCTCCGTCTGCTCCCATCGAACAGCGAGGCTAAAACCGACCAAGGGGGCGGGCGCGGCGCCGAGCCGAGCCGGCTCCGCCCCCCCGACGTCCCAGCTCGCTGTGCTGGGACTCTGTCCCATCCCGCCTTCCTCGCGGCGGCAAACCAGCCCCCGGCCACCATTGCCTTTGGTGGCGGCCGGAAGCTCCCATCTAAAACTGACAACGTCCCATCGTTTCACTTTTTCTCTGTGTTCTCGCTTCTATCTGCAGCACCAAGATTGACCTCATTTTTTACACAGGACCAGTTACCAGTTTTTGTAGGCCCTGGGCGATGGAGTATAACCAGGCCCCCTTTCTCCTTTGGCAAAGCCCCTTACTCGTTTCTCTTCATCCCTTCAATTTGGCCCCTCCCCTCCCCTCTGCCTCTACCTTTTCTTCTTTAACCGCTCCCTTTTTCATTTCCATTTACTTACTTGGGTAAAAGAAATCATAACATTTCGAATTCTGGGTTAAATTTTATTACTTTGTCTAAAACCAAAGAGAAGAGAATGCACTTTCCATGATTTTATTTGGTCTTTCTTTCTTTCTTTCTTTCTTTCTTTCTTTCTTTCTTTCTTTCTTTCTTTCTTTCTTTCTTTCTCTCTTTCTTTCTCTCTCTCTCTCCCTCCCTCTGACCTATAGGTCTTACGTGGCATTTATCAAATGTTACTGGGAATATGAAGAAGAAAGGAAGAATTCAGATCAGACACGGCTAGTATGTATGCTACAAAGACAACTGTTCTCTTGTAAGTTGCCTGAACTCTCATGGCCTGCACTAATATTTAGCTAAAATGAGTATATTTTCTACTCTTGAATCTGCTAGTAATTTAGAAACAAGGATATCTAGTACAGACTTGGTCCACTGTAATGTCAAAGGTTTAATCCATTTCTGTCTTGCCTTACTGTACCAGGGACATTCAAATAGAACATGTCTTACAGAGTCAATATTATTTGGAGTGCTATTCAATGAAATTGGCATCTGGCCTTTGACCAGCCACAATTGTCTCTGGCATGCACTGACACAA